TAAGTAGGGTTTAAGTAGGGTAACTATACTCATAGTCTATAGTAAGGGACTTATAACTCCACTTATAACTACCCATGAGCCTCCAAGTGTATATAGGTTGAATCTGCAGGCCGGGGATGGGCGTAGGCTTAGCGAGCGTAGTACACCAGGAACTCCCCGCTCAAAACTCTAGATTGAGGGTTTAGGGCTCAGGGTTTACTAGATCCATCAACAAAACGTGCAAAGACTGAGGTCAGCTGAAGCATCTGCCTGCCTGCCGCAGCTTGACGACTAACAGTTCGGGGCGTGGGGCGGGCGGATTTAGGGTTTGGGGTTTAGGGGGGAGGGTGGCAGAGGGGAGAGCCACGGAGATGAAACCCTGAACCCTAACCCTCGTGATAATCATGTTTTAGATTGTATTCGTGACTACTTCGGCTTGCGTCCTGGTGTTCCTAGGAAGGGTTTAGGGTTCAGGGAGCCACTGACATGACAAATGGACTCCGTTCAGGTTCTGAGGTTGTCCGAAAGGTATGCCTTGGACCAGTATCTCATGATCCCCAGTCCGAATGCGGTCTCAGAGTATATTATAGTAGTATGCTTTTTTCGAAAAATAAATAAATGCATGAGAACATATATATATATATACATATGTATGTATCCAAATTTCTGAGCTGCTTGATTCCAAAACCAATGGTCATCGCACTTGGCGTCCAGAAACATGTAGCAAGCCATTGCCCGACCGATAACAAACACCTGCAGCAGCCTCTTTAGAGTCTATACAGTAGCTAGCCTAGGATACATGACATCAATTGAGGTTTAAGGTTCAGGCTTAGGTTGATTAGTTGGGCGTCATTTGGGGGAGTCTTTTGCGTGTCCGCATGGTTGCATGAAGGTACATACCCACAAGCAGTTTGGGGCGAGCAGACAAAACAACCCCTAAACCCTAAACCACTTCAGGAGTGAGGCCCTCAGCACCAAGGGGGATAATTTCTTGATGTCTGCCATGTTGGTCTTTGCCGTTGTGCACGATTGCTACCCATAGGCCCCTAAGTAGTTCCCTTTTGTGGTGTATATTTAGAATCCTAGAAGGTAGTCCCAAAAAGGAAGCGGCAGCTTTCGCGATGGCGATTTAGGTTAGAGATTTGGGGGGCAGTGGGGTTTAAATTTAGCGTTGGTAGTGATTGCCTTCTCACACAGACAACCCTAAACCCTAAGCCCTAAACCTGCGCAAAACAATCCCAGAGGGTCCTCACATTCTACCATTGTAGAATTAGGTGCCAGAAGGCCATCCCCATTATGTTTTTCGGACCGAATTTCATAATAGTAATAATAATAATAGCAGTAATAATAATGATAATGATACTGATTTAGTGATGACAATAAAAATAATAATCATAATAGTAGTAGTAGTAGTAGTAGTAGCAGCAGCCACCTTCGGACCCTCTTTTGAATTTCTTCGCGCCCAACACCCCACCCCGACCTTTTGAATGGGACTCTCCGACGCAAGAGATCCTTTGCATGGCGTCGTCTTGCTCAAACGTTTGGGTTTAGGGTTTTTTGGGTTTCGGATTTAGGGTTTAGGGTTTAGGGTGTTTAGGGTTTCGGATTTAGGGTAGGGTAAACGGGTCTCTTAGGGTTTTTAGGGTTTCGGATTTAGGGTTTAGGGTTTAGGGTGTTTAGGGTTTCGGATTTAGGGTAGGGTAAACGGGTCTCTTAGGGTTTTTAGGGTTTCGGATTTAGGGTAGGGTAAACGGGTCTCTTAGGGTTTTTAGGGTTTCGGATTTAGGGTTTAGGGTGTTTAGGGTTTCGGATTTAGGGTAGGGTAAACGGGTCTCCCGTGAAGGTACGTGCAGCGAAGCAACAGAAAGAAGGATTCCCCTAGCCAGGGGCTGTGATTTGGCAAAACTCCTCGCCATGAACACCCCTAGACCCTAAACCCTCAACCCTAAACCCTAAACCCCCAAAGCCCTAAACCCCTAAACCCCTAAAGCCCTATACCCCTAAACCCCAAAACCCTAAACTCTGAACCTAGAACCTAGAACCTTTTATGGTCCCTTTAAAGAACCCTTTAAGGAACCCTTTAAAGGGTTCCCCAAAGCACAAAAGCCATCACTTCGCTCCTTGGCTGTCAGAGCTCAGTGCCCTGGGTTTAGGGTTTAGGGTTTAGGGTTTAGGGGTTTAGGGTTTAGGGTTTAGGGTTTAGGGGTTTAGGGTTTAGGGTTTCGGGTTTAGGGTTTAGTTTTTGGGGTTTCGGGTTTAGGGTTTAGGTTTTAGGGTTTTGGGTTCCCAGAGACTCCAATACCCGTTACTTAAGGAATACACCTTAAATCATATTAGGGACCTTACTATAATATAAGGTATATATTCCTTAATTATGGAGTATACCTTACATCATAACATTACGGCCCCTCTAGTTTAAGGTTTAAGATCTATTCCTTAATTAAGAGGTATTGGGATCTCTGGGGAACAGGGGTCCTTAAGCGACTATCACTGGGATCCATTCCCCCATACTAAGAACCAGGGAGAAGCGAGCCCCCAATGAAGTTTAGGGGTTTAGGGTTTAGGGTTTCAGGGGTTCAGGGTTTAGGGTTTAGGGTGTGCAGGGGTTAAGGGGTTTAGGGTTTAAGGGTTCAGCAGTTCAGGGGTTTAGAATTGATCCCCATGAGTTTCCAGAGACTCCAATATCCCTTAATTCAGGAACAAGTAAGATTTGGTTTAGGGCTGAGGGTTCAGGGGTTTAGAGCATAGGCTTAGGCGTCCTGAACCGATCCTGGCGTTGAACGTCGAATCTTACAGGGTTTAGGGTTTAGGGTTTAGGGTAATGCCGCTGAAAGCCAAGGAAAGGCGAGTGAGCCACCGCCGCGCTGGGCCGTGGCGTTGCTGTTGCGGCAGGGGCAAAACCGAAGTGCACGCGATGATTCAGGGCTGGCTGAACCCCCGGCCCCCAAGCCCTGAGCCCCACTTAAGCATTCCTAAGCCCTCTACCCCGAAACTAAATCACAGAGAGAATCAGAAGAGAGAGCTGAACAAGGAAAGCCTTGCACTTTGGCGGTCCTTCACTTTCCAGGGTCTGGGTGTCTCGTCTCGTGAACATGGTAATAGGGAGCAACATGACTAATTATAGTGTTTCTGTCGTGACAACTGTAGTGTCACTTGCGATCATGGCGAGTGGTGACAGTTGTGATGCCGATGCCACTGTGTTTGTGTGGGGTCCCGATGAGTTTTGGTAGTAGGTTTTTGTTGTCTTATATGGCTCCTACAAAGACCTCGGTTTTTGTAGGTCAGGGTACTTTCTCGCAGCCACCAGATCCAAACGTATTTGTCAAAGCCCTTCCATGATGGCACTTCCCCGGCTGCAGCTGCTGCTTTACTGTGCACACCAGTCGCCGACGGTCTTCGGTCAGACGCTCAATATGCCACTATGCGAAGATCGAAGCTCGCGATGGAAAGATGGATGTAGGCCCTGAAAAGCTTAACTTCCCCCAGCCTGGCATTGATCATGGCCTTCTTAAATGCTTGGTCAACATGTCCGAATGGCAGGAGAGGAGGCACTGGGTTGACAGCACGTGGTGGTACTTTCTGATCTTCACCATACTGATCCTGGTCCTCAACGCCATCTGTCTCGGCATCAGCCACAGCAAAGTCAAGGAAGTGCCCACGGCCTTGCTTGGCATCGTAGCCGGTGTAGGTTTGCTCGCCTCGTTTGTGTGCTTACTTGCACCATGCATTGCCGGCTTCCGGAACTACTACATCAACAAAATGTACTGCCCAGCGAGGATCAAGATGCTTAACGGCGCAGACGGCCCAGTCGAGCTGTACAAGACTTCACGTGGATTCTGCACCGTGTTGGTGAGTCTCGTGACCATGGGCCTTAGCTTTGCTTCCGCAAAGAAGGCGGACGAGCAGATCAAAGCCGCTGCAGCTGTTGTCTAGAGCCATGCCAGGCGCCAATCACCAGAAAAAAGACCGCTAAATCCCCGAGGTGCTCGTGTCTTCAGGCCCCACATAACACCCTTATAGTACCCTTTCACCTGTGAAGAAGAAACCCCTACAGAAGCCCTTTTAGATCCCTTTTAGAAACCCGCAAAAAGACCGGACTCTCAAAACCCAAAGCTCAACCCTTATCTAGGTATACCACAACATAGCCCCAATTCCTATTGTACTTATTCAGGCCCCCTCAAAAGGGACCCTAGTCTAAACCCTATAGACCCTAAACCCTAAACCCAAAAGGAACCCAAGTCTAAACGTTAAGGTCCCTCAAAATTCCCCCCCTGCAACTCAAAGGAGACGGAGCTTCCAAATGTCGCCGTGCAGGCGCTGCAGATGACCACCTTGGAAGAAGGCCCCGGTTCCCTGAGATCCCAATACACAACCCCAAGGGTCCAAGTACCTAATAATCATATTATACTCTCCCAAATATATTAATGCTAGATTACTACCATCCGTAACCAAAGCACCCGATTACTAGGTCCTTTGGACCCTTAGGGCAATAATTAAGGAATATACCTTAAACTATAGGGGCCTTAATATTATGATTTAAGGTAGATTCCTTAGTTCAGGGGTATTGGGCTCTCTGAGTAGAGGGGGTTCAAGGTCATGTAAGGTTTAGGCCAGGGGTTTACGGTTTAGGGCTTAGGTGGTTGAGGGGTTCAGGGAGGTTTAGCAAACAAGAGGCCACCCAAAATAGAAGCTTCTTGGTGGCTTATCCCCATTCTGGTAGCTTACTTGAAGAGGGATTCAGGAATGTATCGACTTTATGTTTATGGCTTGATTCATTCACATCTATTTCTGGCATGAATTTACGACCAAAACCGACCACCCTGAGCCATCCTAAACTTAAAACCTTAAACTCTGGACCCTAAACCTGGACTACTTGGAGGTTCATGGGTAGTTATAAGTAGGGTTATAAGTAGGATAACTATAGTTACAACCTATATCAGGGGACTCCACTTTAAGTACCCATGAACCTCCAAGTAACCCCAACAAGCTACCACGCACTCAGCCCGCAAGCCGCACAGCACAGGCCGGGAAAGACACATGGAGGCCAGCACGCCCAGTTGAGGTACGGGTTGTTGGAGGTTCAGATTTCAGGCCGTTGGATTCTGAGCTTTAGAGTTTTAGGGTTTAGAACCCTAAACCCTAAACCCTAAACCAGGGCCTTAAAAAAAAGCCTAAACCAGGGTCTAGAGGTTCTAGGGTCGGGGTCGCAGGGTTTAGGGTGAGTCGGCAGGCTGGCGACCCTAAGTCCTACACCGTTGAGGGGATTTGTGGGGTGTCATAAACCCTGAGGGTCCATGTACCTAAATAGCATATACTTTGGCCTTAAAGTAGTCCCTATATAGGTGCTTTGGGGCCAAACTATATGCTATTTGGGTACATGGACCCTTAGGGAACGGTTTAGGGTTTAGGGTTTAGCCCCAATTACTGCATAATCGGTTCGCGGGTGCCTGGCGCACGGGCGTGAGAAAAGCGCGATTTTTTGGGATTTTTGGCCGGGGCTCCTGCAGCCGTAGACTTCGTAGAGGCTGGCGATGTGGGGCGCACAGTGCAGACCCAAATGTTGATATCGACCCTTTAGCTCGCACGTGCTCGCTATGTGGGTAGTTCTCTAAATGAGGGTGCTCCTATGCGGGACCCCGAAGAATGTATTCCCGACCCCCCCGATCGGGGGCAATTCTGTCAGATTTAGGAAATGTATTTCAGGGGCCCCCCGGTTATGTATTCTGCCCCCCCCTCCCCCGGGGTTTTGTGCTGCTCGCGTACACGCCACGTCCTACAGCTGTGCAGGAAATGTATTTTAGCCCCCTGCTATCCCGAGGAAGGGGGGTTGAAATACATTAACCCCTCCGTAAATATATTCTCGACCCCGGGCCCTGGTACAACTTTTAGGCTCCTTTTTATAAGGGTGCCGTACTATATTGGGGACCCAATTAAGAGGGACCCTACTTTAGAAAACTACCCATGTACTTGCACGGTCTCAAAGGCAAGCCCCACACGCGACTCTGATTAGAACCCCAAGCACGAAAGCCGAAGAAGCACCAGACGCGAACCTGTGCAAGCCCCAGCTCTAAAGCCTCCTACTAAACCATAAACCCTAAACCCTACACCCTAAACCCCTAAACCCTAAACCCTAAACCGCAACCTCTGGGCTCTAAGCCTTAACCCTAAACCCAGGGGTCCAAGTGCCTCATAATCATACACTCCCCCAATTAGTAGCTTACATAACTACTCTCCGAAACACAAGTACCTTGTTGTTGGGTCCTCTGGGCCCTTAAGGTAAAGCCCAGCACCCCAAAACCCCAACCCCTAAAACGTAAAACCGAAGCCGTAAAATCTAAGCCGGAAGCCCTAAAACATACCACTTAAATCTTAAAACCTCAAGACACTTAAACCCTACAATCTAAACCCGAAGCCCACAAATCCTTAAACTTAAACCCCAAAAACCTAAACCCTAGAACCTAAATCCTAAGTCCTAAACCGTAAAATCTATCACAAAGACTTATACCCTTGAAAACGTAAGCCCCCAAACATCACTTAAATCCTAAAAGAACCCAAAGCCTGGAAACCGCAAAACCGAAATCCCAGACCTTTAAAACCCAAAACCCTGACTACTAAGCCCTAGAACAGCGAAGCCCTACAACTACTTAAACCCTAAACCTTACAACCTAAAACTTAAGCCCTCTAAAATCTAAGCCCTACAACCCACAGCCATAAAGGCCAACATTGAAACGCAAGAATCTTAAACCCTAGAAAACCCAAAGCCGAAAAAACCTAAACCCTAAACCCCTAATCCCCTCATCCCCTAAACCCTAAACCCTAAACCCTAAACCCTAAGCCGAGAAACCTGAAAGGCGAGCCTGTTGGCCAAAGGGCCGATCCTCGGAGAGCGCCTGCAGTGCAAAATCTGCGGCTTCCAGGCGGCTTTCGTGATTTCGGTGTAGGGGTTGGGGGTTTAGGGTTTAGGGCTTTGGGGTTAGGGGGGTTGAGGGGTTAGGGGGTTAGGGTTTGGGGGGTTTTGGGGTCTAGGGTTTAGGGGTTTAGGGTTTGTGCTTTGAAGTGCGCGCCCGGCCCAACAGGTGCAAGCTGCTTCGGTTTAGCTGAAGTTGTTCTTTCGGGTGTCCGGTTGAATGCAGGCAAATCGCATTCAGGGGCTTTTGGTGACCTGGTGTGCAGGTTGGACACATTTTACTACGCTACGACAGTCAGAAACCAAACCTACAGCCCATAAACATCTACACGACAAGTCTGCCCGGATAAATCCCTACTTGAAGCCTAAGAGTATTCGGCATGTTAGCTACTTTGGAATCCCGTGGGTGTAAGGATTTGTGGTTTAGGATTCTAGCGTCTTGGGTTTCCTGCATGGAGGAGAATTGTAGATGAACACCACGGCCTACCTGGCAGGGTTGCATACACCAAATCCAGAACAGGGACTTGAGGGCGATGCAAAACCACCTCGGTTGATACTGGAGATGGCGGGGGCCGGGGGTAGCAGCAAGCCATGGGGTTCTCAGGGTTTCGGTTGCCGTGAGTGAGCTGGTGCACCTCGCCATCCATGTGAAGGAGACCCATGTACAGGATTGTTGGAACTGGCTTTGCGGCTCGCGAGGCAAAGCAGCTCGCCTCGCGCCATGCAGTCGTAGCAATGATTCAAACGTCCCGAACCACAGCCCAGTGTTCCCGGAGCCCCCGAAAAGGACGAAGACACTCGCATCAGGCCTCCCATCAAACAATCCCACAATCCACACAAGCCACCCCCGTACTCAGCTTAAGCCATGGCAAATTACATGAAGTATATACCCCAATCCCGAATTATCTACCATGCGACTCTTTGCTTTCAGGTGCGGAGGCATCGGGAGATGAGATCGCACTTCTTCACAAAGCATGAGGCCGAATCTACGCACCTGCCTCCGGAACACAAGACACTCTCAACCCAATAATCCCCAAACTTTAAACTTAAAAAGACACATGCCTCAAAATGACACCGAGACTCTGTATGTACAGTGTGGCTCCTACCGGCAATGAATAGTAGGGCTGCAGCCACAAAAACATAACTCCTGAAGAGTTTAGTTATGTTAGGGCTGCGGTGTTTTAGGGTTTGGGTTCTCACGATTCTGCTGCGGAGCTCCCTAGAGAAGGGCTTTACGGCTTATGTTGCGTGTAGCTTTCGGGGAGTTTGAGTGCTTGAAAGCACTTCAAGGCTGGTGCACATAGTGCACATCAAGTAGGTTTAGGATTTTAGCAGCCCCAGCACACCCTAGACCCACACTTTGCCTATCAGCCCTCAACCCTAGGCCCGAAATTGAACTCCCGTTGCACTCCTTACGGAAACCGGAGCTAGATATGAAGAAAAGGCGGCAACAGCTCCAAGCCCCTAAAGCCTAAATCTGCTTAGCGTTTAGGGTTTAGGGTTTAGGAAATTCTACAGCCTAAATTCGAATTACTTGGAGGTTCATGGAAGTGGAGTTATATGTCCCCCAATATAGCTTATAACTATAGTTACCCTACTTATAACCTTACTTATATCTACCCATGAACCTCCAAGTACACCCTAAATTCGAATTTCCAGCCCTATCTATAGCCTCCATTGTAGTTCTTTCTTGGTTTAACCAGTATTATATTAAGGATCCTAAAAGGTAACCCCGAAAAGAAACTACAATGGAGACCATAGGGAAAGCACCTGTAGCTCCGGCCCCCTGCAGGAAGATGCCGTGGCGTGGGCTACCGGAGCTGTTGCCTGGCGGACGGTTCTAAACCCTAGACCCTAAACCCTAAACCCTATAATACCCTAAACCCAAAACCCTAAGCCCTATAATACCCTAAGCCCTAAACCCTAGAACCTAAACCCTAAACCCTAAAAGCTCTAAACCCGGGTCTAGGGTTTACGGTCACCTCATCAAGACTAATAGCCCCCTATGGTCCCCGTGTACTTCTTT